GGGGGGGGGGGGGGGGGGGGGGGGGGGGGGGGGGGGGGGGGGAAGGAGGACGAAAGCAACCCAGAACACCTGTAGCGCTCCTCTCTTGCACATTGCGCGTGTGTGGGAGGAACAGAGAGAGGGGAAACAACGTGCGTGCGTGGGCACACATCATGAAACAAAGGACGCAGTACGCGGGGGACACAACAGACAACAATATTCCTCTAACACCTAGTCAAGAAAGGTACAGTATGCAGTGTGCAGCAATATGCAGCATTCATACACCTTACCTTAACGGTTTGTTCCTCCTCGGGTACCCTTCTCAGCTCCCTCGCCAGCGCGTCGCTTAGGGCCAGGTCCTCGTACATGTCCTTCTTGTCCCGCAGCCGCGCCTCCAGCGTATCTCTGACACGACGTTTTCACAAAAGTGCCGATCAGTCAGTCAGGCAGCCAACATGCGACACAGCAGGAGTTAACGGATCGACCACCCGAAAGTTCACCATAACAAGCGAGACATCCAACTAAGCGCCGCCACGCTCTTTGACTGGCTGTCTCTCTTACTTCATGGGCACAAAACCAATACCGCAGTCAGGGAGGTCATCCATCAATATTATCTTTCCCTCACTCCTGCAGAGCAGAATGCCGCACTCGTCGACACTGGCTGCTCATTTGTGTTGCTCTGCTCCCACATATAGAAAGACAGGCAGCAACCCCTCTCCCGGTTGTATGCACAGAGATATAACTTGTCGCAATGGAGCACCCAACCCCTTTGGGTTCAACATGAGATAGATACCCTTCAACTTTGGGCATGAGCTTTGGGCGTGAGCCCGCCTGTGTTCCTGCTTTCGGGCAGAAGAGGTGGAAGACGTGCAGCGTCGACACCAACCGAGAAGCAACTGTTGGGTGCCCTACGGGGCTAAAGCACGCAGGGGTATGAAGGAAGGTGGTGAGGGGGCTACTTGATACGGAGGAATGGGAAGGGAAGGGGTGCAGGGCGCCGTCACCTCTCGATTTCGGCCATCTCCTGGCCCTTCTTCAAGGCCGCCACCTGCTCAAGCCACCGCTTCTCGAGGCTCTGAATCTGCAATTCGTGTCTGATCACGGGTGTTTTATTGCCGTTGGTTGATCAACGCCACCAAACACGGAGGAAAGAGAAGCAAATAGGGTTGCGTGGGTGCGTTGGGGCAGAGGCGGAGTTTTGGGCGATATATAGACGGGCAACAAGCGCCAAGACAGCCACCACCCGCTGAACATCTGCGGTTCTGCACAAGTTTGGTCATGCCGAGTTGTAGCCCCTCCCGGACGCTATCGCAACCACTGTCTGCCTCTCACTCCATTCCCAAACTGGGAACCGATTCACACCCATCCCTGCCGTTGTGTCTATTTCCGGGTGCCTGTCTGTCATCTACGTCTCTGTCTGTCTTGTCTTAACGCACCTCGCCCTCTCCTGCCTGAGGTCTCCCTCGAGGCTGCCCCTACGCCGCTCTAGGTGCACCAGCTCCTCCTGCAGGCCCAGCACACGCGCCCTAACCGCCGCTTCCCCCCCCGGAAGCTCTAGTCCCAGCCCCTCCAGCAAGCTCCTCCTCTGCTGCAGGACCGCCAAGCCACCCAACGCACCGTTGCCGCCGCCGCCGCCGCCGTCCGCGGGAGGATGAAACGTCTGTCCGAGCACGTTCAGCAGCGCAGCCTCGTCCTCCGAAAACGGTAGCTGTAACGAGAGCGTGGCCGAGGAGGAAGAGGCGGTGTCTTCCGAAAATATCCCACCGCCGATGGCGCTGGCGCCGCCGGCGCCGCCGCCCGGGCCACCACCGCCAAGAAAACGGAGAGAAGACGACGCGATGCCGTTCTTGAGTTGTAACCCCCCGTTGCCGCCGCCGGTAGGACTTCGCATCCAGGAGTCGGTGTCGTCGTCATCGTCGCCTCCCGTAGCGGCAGAGGACGAGGTGCCCGAGACTCCGGTACTGCTCTTGCCGCTGCCGCCACCATCGCGGAGACGAAAGCCTCTCGCTGTGGCGGTGGCGGCGGCGGCAGCGGCGTTGCCGTTGCTGCTGCTCGACGAGTCAGAGACGCCTACGCCACCGCTTCCCCCCCCGCCGCCGTCGTTCCCCCGCTGCCGTCGCCTGCGGGGGCGGCGGCGCGCGGACGAAAGCACCGCCGGCGTTGCTGCTGTCGCTGCCGCCGCTCCCCGCCCCGGCGCAGAAGACGAAAGAGGTGGCAACACTGCTGTGGCACCGGTGCTGGGTTGTTTCGTGACGATTTCAGGAGTTCCGACGTTTTTCGAGAGCGCGATCGTTCGGATTGAGGATTTATTGGGTCGGGTCGGGAATGTGTCGTCAGTGGTGCAGCGAAGGACGACTCTTATGGGCTGGTGCCATCACGTGTTTTTCGTTTTAGTGCACGCTGCTTGTATAGGCTAGTATGGGCCGGGTTGCTTTGCGATCAGTGTGGAAACAGATGCAAGGTGTTTATAACGTAAGCGTACCATTGATACGGCCTACTCACATATAAGGGTGCCTATGGTCGTCGTCTCTGCCTGCACTTGGCTGATATGTACCAGTAGTGCTTTTGAGAGTTACGCATGTGGATCATAGTATACATGTATACATGCACAGCAGGTCTTGTCACCAACTAATAATGTACCCACCGCTGCCGTGTACGTAAACGTACTGAAACTGGTGAACATAGCCTGGCCCACCCACCCTACAGTTTTTGTGCTGGTGTTGGGAGTGGTGGCAGAGGTAGGCTCACGCCCTCGCGAAAAGGATGGAATGCACCTGGTCACGAACAGAAAAAAAATACAGACTACATGCACACACCATCCTGTCGCCGGGTGGTGAGTGTCATCCCGCTCCTTCCCTGCGTACCACCTACGTACATCGAGGGCCGATGCTTCGGGTACAGCAGTACATGATGTGTCTGCTGTATGGCGCCAAACACTCATCTATGTGTACACATACAGTTTACACCAGAAGAAGAGCAAGACAAACCCAGCCCGTTGGAAACCCTCGCACGCTCTCGTGGCCTCGCGGTTTGGACCCAGAGCGCCAACAAGAGCGCACTACTGCTGTACTACTGTGCAGAAGTCGGGCCGACTTTGAAGTATGCAATGCAGGAGTGATGTTCTCCCGAAACAGAGAAAATGGATGGCACACTTCGCGGCGGGCGATGCTGATGTCACTACCAGATGGACATAGTCTACCCTCATACAAACCACCAGGCAACGTACAAAACTGATGCCTGATTATGCCGGTATTGCTCGAGGATGGCTTTGGAACCCCTCTGGAGCGTACGGCAGGTGCACGCAAAGTGTGTTACATTGTCAAGAAGCAATCCCGGTCCGTCCATCATATGCGTAGACTCGATGGATCAAAGATCTTTCCCGCCATTTCACAGCAGCAGTTCAGATTGGAAACACCGGCACGTCATTCACAGAGGAAATCAAAGCACCTGTCCAAGAAGAAACCAGTCCGCCCTCCCCTATTGCTTGGTTCCTCTTGGTCTCGTCCCTCTTCCTCCTCCTCCTCCTCTTCGTCGTCTTCTAGCTCATCGTTGCTCTCCAGCGGAGTCGTGGTGCGCAGAGAGACGAGCTCGCGCGGCGTGATCGACGATGAGATCCTGAGCTCGCTTGCCAAGGCCATCACCCGGCGATCCTCATCCTCTGCAGCGGCGTTTCCCTCGTGCGTGGCAGCCACGGCATCACCGACCCCATGACGGGGTTCTGCTGGCTCCCCTTCACTCATCCCCGTGCAAAGTAGTGCGTGAGAGGCAGGATCCGCAACAGAGCAGGGGTTCACCCGGGGATGTCTACGCCTTGTCCCCGGAGTTCGCTTTGGATTATGGTTCCAGTAATGACCGTTGGTCCGTTGGTGCAACAACGCGGGCAGATGTGTGCCTGGCCCGTAGCCAGCTTGGCGTGTGTGCACAGCAGTTTTGCAGCGCCAGCGCCTCATGAGGACGAGAGGGGGCTCGTTGCGGGGTGCCGCAGCCGAGAACCTGGCTCTCGACAAGCATGCCACTGCACGGAGGAGCCGTCGTCGAAGCACGCGTTCGTTCGGGGACCGACGGAGCGACAACTTGGTTTCGGAGGAGGTATGGACCCCCCCTGCCGGCGCTGCTGGTGATGACAAGGCTGGAGAGACACAAGAAGCACACTGCTTTTTTCTCCCTGGGCATGCTACGGGTGATGTCGCGGCTGGAGATACCAAGCGTGCGTCGCCGTCGGCCGTCGCCAATCGGCAGGAAAAGAGCTGCAACGTCGAGAACCAGCATGTTGTCGAGCGCCGCCGCTCGGCGAGGTGCTTTTCCATGAGCGCAGCGGTCGCCAGCCAGGTCTCGTCCGTGCAGCGGTCTACGCGATCATCGTTCGCGCCAACCGTGCTCACGAACTGGGATGTCAACGTGGCAGCTGCCCAGGCCAACACGCAGGCAGATGAGACCGAAAAGGATCGCGTTGAAGGCAGCACTCCACCACTACCACCACCGCCAGCAGTAGCAGCAGCATCGGAAGAGCCAGTCAAGCAGTACCCATCACCATCGGCACCGGGAGCCCACGGGCCAGCACCAGCCCCAGTAGATGCCGAAGACAACCCTCCGGCGTTGGCAGAGCTTACTTCTGCTCCCGCGCTCAAGGTTTGCCCGATAACAACAACAGCACCAACGAGGAGGGCGTCAATCCCGTGCCACAGGAGCGAGAAGCACCCGGCGGCGCTGCGGCGTCGGCCGTTTTCAGTAGGATCCGGTGTTATTGACAACCGAAACTTGTTGATCATTCCACCGGTTTTCGCAGCCCCCGAGATCAAGCCAGCCGTCGGCAGCGACGGGTCGATCGGAGACCCTGGCGAAGCGGTTCCTCGTGGAAGCTTGGCGGAGCTTGCGGTCGGTGCTACGCCGTTGCGGCAGCAGCTTCCCTCGACGACAGTGCGGCCGCCCGCCATCACTCTCGTCGAAGACGTCGGCGTGGCAAGTCCGCTCGCCGTGCCGGCCCCCGCGATGACTTCCGCGGTATCGATTTGCTCCGTTGTGCAGGGGGGCTGCAGTCGTGTCCCGCCGCGAGATGAGGAGCCGACCACACCTGGCTCAACGAGGGTCACGCTTGTCGACTACGACACGAGCCCTTCGACAGCGGGAGGGTCACCCCCGGCCGCTGCCGTCCTTGTTGACTACGGGGCAAGCCCGCTCGGGGTTTCTCCGGGGGATGTCGGGACGTCACCTTCGACGACGTGTGCGCCGCTGGCGGCGGCGCTCGTCGACTACGGCATGACCCCGTCGGTGTCTCGACTTCGGAAGGAAGACGGCAGCAGCCCTTCACTGAGGTTGGACGAAGAGAGGTTTGCTCTGGACCCGGACGAGCCAGCACCGGAGGACGGGGGGCGGGTGGAGGGGAAAGCGCGGGTCACAGATCCAGCTGGGTCTCGTGGTGAGGCCCTCAGATGCGGGGAAGAGGAAGAGGAGACGGCCGATGTCCCTTGTCTTTCTACCCGGGAGGCGGCGGGGACCGTTGAACTGTCGAAAAAGGAGCCTATCGCGCCGAAACAGATCGAGGCAGCTGGCGCTGAGCCAGTAGAAGCGGTCGCAGAAGACGGGGTAAGTGGGCTGAACGAAGAGTCTGTCTCCGTTGCACCGGAGGAAACTTTGGTTGCGGCGGGTGTCGCCGGTAGTGCGGAGACTCCGGATGTTGGCGAACAGGCAAAGGTTGGCGAGATGGCAGCAGCTGTGGCGTCTACAGAGACAGAGGCAGCGAGCTTGAATTCGCCTGACGTTGCCCCGGGCGGTGCTGAGGAGGCCATGGTCGGCGTGGCGGTGGCAGCAATTGTGCTTACAGAGAAGTCCAACGACGCTCAGAGTGAAGCACCGCTCGCGGTGGCCATGGATCTTGATATCGGCGCTGCTCTCGAAATGGTCGTGGCTGGCGTGGTGGCGAGAATGGTAGTGTCTGCGGAAGAAGATTGCAGTGCGCGGGCTGAACAACCGCTGGCGTCGGTCATGGAACTTGACGCCCCGGGTACCGTCGAAGAGGCCATCGCCGACGAGGTGGTGACATCAACGGTACCAACAGAGTCAGCAAACGACGAGGAGGGCGGAGATCGACTTGAGGTAGCCGCGGAATCCGACGTGATGGCGATGGCGGTGACGGAAGAGCTCGTTCCGGAGGCTGCCAAGGAGGTACATGTACCGTCGACTGGGCAGCTGGACGTCAACGAAGCTGCTGCTGCTCAGCCGGCCGTGCTTACGTGCGAGGGACCGCCGGCGAGCCCGGGAGCTGTGGCCGGCCCGGACGTAGCATTTCGGAGCAACGGATCGATCTCGTCAGTGGAGCATGCTCAGCAGGATTTGTCTCCTCCTCCGGTGGTACAAGAGGTGCGCGCTATTCGTCGGGCCGCGAGGCGTAGGTCGGTTGCTTTTCCGTCGGCGCCTTGCTTTGAAACGACGCTGAGTAGCGTCAACGTGGTCAGCGCTGGCGCCCGTGGTGACAACCAGGGCATTCAACCCGCCGAGGAGACACGCCTTCCTCGTCGCCCGAGACGGCAGCGACCGGTTGCACCGGAAAAGCCTCGATCGGTAGAAGCACCAGCACCGGCACCGGCACCAGTTCCAGCTCCAGCTCCCCCCGTCCTGGATCTCCATATCGCCGGTGCTCTTGAGGGGGCCGTGGCTGGCGTGGTGGTGAGAACGGCACCGCCTGCGGAGCAAGATTGTGATGCTCAGGCTGAAGAATTGCGGGCGTCGGTCATGGGGCTTGACGCCCCAGGCGCCGTCGAAGTGGCCATCGTCGACGAGGTGATGACGTTAACGGTGGCAACGGAGCCAGCAGACGACGCACAGGGTGGGTATCCACTTGAGGTGCCCGTGGAATCCGACGCGGCAGAGACGGCGGTGCCGGAAGAACTCGTTCCGGAGGTTGCCAAGGAGGTACATGCACCGTCGACTGGGCAGCTGGACGTCGACGAAACTACTGCTCAGCGGGCCGTGCTTGGGTGCGAAGGACCGCCGGCGAGCCCGGGAGCTGTGGCCGGCCCGGACGTAGCATCGCGGAGCAACGGATCGAGCTCGTCAGTGGAGCATGCTCGGCAGGACGTTTCTCCTCCTCCAGTAGTACAGGAGGTGCGCGCTATTCGTCGGTCTGCGAGGCGTAGGTCGGTTGCTTTTCCGTCGGTGCCTTGCTTTGAAACGACACTCAGCAGCGTCAGTGCTGACGCCCGTGGTGACAACCAGGGCATTCAACCCATCGAGGAGGCACGCCCTCCTCGTCGCCCGAGACGGCGGCAGTCCGTTGCACCGGAAATGCCTCCATTGGTAGACACATCGGCACCAGCACCGGCACCAGTTCCAGCTCCAGCTCCCCCCGTCCTGGATCTTCATATCGCCGGTGCTCTTGAGGGGGCCGTGTCTGGCGTGGTGGCGAGAACGGCACCGCCTGCGGAGCAAGATTGTGATGCTCAGGCTGAAGAATTGCGGGCGTCGGTCATGGGGCTTGACGCCCCGGGTACCGTCGAAGAGGTCATCGCCGACGAGGTGGTGACGTTAACGATGCCAACAGAGCCAGGAGACGACGAGCAGGGCGGAGATCGACTTGAGGTAGCCGCGGAATCCGACGCGGCAGAGACGGCGGTGCCGGAAGAACTCGTTCCGGAGGTTGCCAAGGAGGTACATGCACCGTCGACTGGGCAGCTGGACGTCGACGAAACTACTGCTCAGCGGGCCGTGCTTGGGTGCGAAGGACCGCCGGCGAGCCCGGGAGCTGTGGCCGGCCCGGACGTAGCATCGCGGCGCAACGGATCGAGCTCGTCAGTGGAGCATGCTCGGCAGGACGTTTCTCCTCCTCCAGTAGTACAGGAGGTGCGCGCTATTCGTCGGTCTGCAAGGCGTAGGTCGGTTGCTTTTCCGTCGGTGCCTTACGTTGAAACGACATTCAGCAGCGTCAGCGCTGACGCCCGTGTTGACAACCAGGGCATCCAACCCATCGAGGAGGCACGCCCTCCTCGTCGCCCGAGACGGCGGCGGTCCGTTGCACCGGAAATGCCTCCATTGGTAGACACATCGGCACCAGCACCGGCACCAGTTCCAGCTCCAGCTCCCCCCGTCCTGGATCTTCATATCGCCGGTGCTCTTGAGGGGGCCGTGTCTGGCGTGGTGGCGAGAACGGCACCGCCTGCGGAGCAAGATTGTGATGCTCAGGCTGAAGAATTGCGGGCGTCGGTCATGGGGCTTGACGCCCCGGGTACCGTCGAAGAGGTCATCGCCGACGAGGTGGTGACGTTAACGATGCCAACAGAGCCAGGAGACGACGAGCAGGGCGGAGATCGACTTGAGGTAGCCGCGGAATCCGACGCGGCAGAGACGGCGGTGCCGGAAGAACTCGTTCCGGAGGTTGCCAAGGAGGTACATGCACCGTCGACTGGGCAGCTGGACGTCGACGAAACTACTGCTCAGCGGGCCGTGCTTGGGTGCGAAGGACCGCCGGCGAGCCCGGGAGCTGTGGCCGGCCCGGACGTAGCATCGCGGAGCAACGGATCGAGCTCGTCAGTGGAGCATGCTCGGCAGGACGTTTCTCCTCCTCCAGTAGTACAAGAGGTGCGCGCTATTCGTCGGTCTGCGAGGCGTAGGTCGGTTGCTTTTCCGTCGGCGCCTTGCTTTGAAACGACATTCAGCAGCGTCAGTGCTGACGCCCGTGGTGACAACCAGGGCATCCAACCCATCGAGGAGGCACGCCCTCCTCGTCGCCCGAGACGGCGGCGGTCCGTTGCACCGGAAATGCCTCCGTTGGTAGGAGCACCCGCACCGGTTTCATCTCCAGCCCCCCCTGCAGACGCCACGTCGTCGGAGTACTCGTCGTCACCCATAGGCTCCGGGCTCTGTGACGTGCAGTTCGCGTTTGCGGTGCACGAAGGTCGTCCTCCTCCTCGCTCCGGAAGGCGACGATCGATCGCGCCGAAGAAGATCCTCTCAGCAGCAGCTGCAGCTGCAACGTCGACGGCGGCCACAACGCCGACAGCGGCGGCGACTGCGGTGGCGGTGCCACCGTTTAGAGAGGCGACATCGTCGGCGGCGACAAAGGAGAAGAACCTTTCTTCAACCGATGCGAGGCCCAGCGACGACGACCAGAGCAGTGCGCCTTCCCAGGAGGGAATGTCGCAGCCTCGCCGCCCGCAACAGCGCCGCCAGCCTCTCGCAGCGACGCCGATGGAGCAGCAGCAAATCGCGGCATCAGCGACGGCATCCTCCGAGGAACAGGGGACGGCCAGCGCAAGAGGAGAAGCTTCTGCTGCCGCGGCCGCTGCCGCTGCTGATGCCGTCGCTGATGCCGCTGCGGCCGCCGCCGCCGCCGCCGCTGCCGCTGCTGCTTCTGCTGTGCAGCAGGACAAGAGCCTTCCGGAACAGCAGGTGGCCTTGCCGAGGCGTCGCTCGACTAGGCGTAAGTCGATACGGGGCTCGCGAGCGGGAGGGTCGCTGCTGGAAGATAACACAGCGGCTCCACAAGTGGAAGCATCCGTCTTCTTGCAAGAGGGGCCGGGTGGCGGTGGCAGCGGCGGTGCCGGTGGTAGTGGGCGGGCCTTGGTCGTGGGGGCGGAGCGGGGAGGGACGCAGGCCACGACCGACGTTGCCGTGGAGCAGGGGGGAACGGTCATGGCTGACTTGTTGAACAAGGTGAGTCCGCCGGGCAAGAAAAGGAGAAGGTTGATGCTGCTGTACATCTGGTATTGGCGTGCGTAATATGATACTGGAGTTCTCTTATTGGGTGCCAGAGAATGTTCCCATGTGTATGTATGACGACATCACGCAGAGATCTTGTGTCTTGCGGACGTGTATGTGCGCAGCAGCAATTCAACAAACGGGAGTATATATCCGGTAGTAGATATGGAGGCGTTCGATGGTGGACTACGTGCGATTTTCTTGTCATTCATCCCGCGTCTGTGTGCAAATTTCGGCAAACGGAAAAGTCGTAGGCCTTGTGACGTACTTCGGACAACTGCGGTAGCTCGTCGATGAGATGGCTGATCGTGCCTCCGCTGGACGTGATCCCCCGTACGAAAGCGCGCGGAATCATGAACGAGGACACTCGCCTGGCTCTTACAGCTACTCCAGTCTTTTCTACAGAGTGATTTTGTTCGGTGTGGTTTGTTTTGTTCTTTCGTGTGGTTCTGGGACGGACGGACTGTGGAAATAACTCTCTCTCACGTTGTTGTTGGAAACAAGGCACCACTGACATGGACTCGAACTTACAGCCGAATTGCCTTTTCTGACACAACTAGCAGCTAAGTATTCTTCTGTACCTTTTACTGCTCTCCTGACGAGGTGTTCGAAAACGGGTTTGCCACGGCGTATTCCCGCACCACGCTCAGGGACCCATGCGTGTATCACATTTCCGTCGTTACATACTCAGGGTGCTTGCAGCAAGGCTCGTGTCGTGACCGCTGTTCCTCCACCCACTCGCTCGCTCGCTTGCTTGCCCACTCCCACGACAACGAAAACAACAAGTGCCTTGAGACGGCGCGAGCGGATGTGCCGCAAGGCGACGACGTCCTGCAGCTCCTGCGTGACCTGTCGGACGCGTGGATCGACGCGGAAGCGTGCGCCCTCAAGAACGCCGACGCCGCCGCCGCCACCGCCGACGAGATGCACCGGAGGGGCGCCGTGGTGGGGGCAGGTGAGGGGTGGCGATATGCTCCCGGCGTGTGTTTTGTGTTGAGGCGTTGACCGAGCTAGCCGGGGTTAGGACTTGGGGATAGTTTCGCCTTTGTTTGTTATGGTATGTGTCGTAGAGTAGAGGATACGCAGGTGGTTATGCGCCCCCCCCTTGCCGCCGCCCTCGACCTGTACGGACCAAGGTGTTCCTTGCGATAGTTCGGTCGGCCATGGCACTCTACTCCGCAGCCTGGTTGTGGGCAACCTTATTCCCCTGTCGATATTGTACGCCGGGACAGGTGGACCACCTGCCGTTTTCCGTCATGTTTTTGGGAGGATGAAACTCAACAGAATGAACTCGACAAGGAGCAGTATTGTGTGACCAGAGTTTGAGTTTGAGGGGAGTATTGGACACAGTTGGGATTTCGTCAACCCTTGCAAGACGACCCGACAGATGCTGCCGCCTGCTGTGCGATGAAACCCCCGGTGACCAACCACCGTACCCCTCCCCCCTGCCCACCCTCCCGCGAACAAGCTTAAGGTTGTTTCCAACCCGGCCACCTCATCAGCAGTACGGACAGCAGAGGAAACATGTCGACGAGCGGCGAAACAGTACAATGCAGCTTTGGCAATCAACCCAACGCGGCGTTTGTCGACAACCCTGTAAGCTTGCTCGACGTATCGACGTATCCATTCATTCGCTTCTCGCCCCGTTGCCTCTCCCCCTCCCCGCGTCTTGCGCCTCTGCTCCCGCAGGCAATGCCGGGCCGCCTAGAGTCGTGCGCCTGTGCGCGTTCAACTTTTCCACGGTCGGCATGCCATTGGACACCGCCGCCGGATCGGAGCTGCATGGTATACACATGTAGAGCTCACTCGATGCAATCGCGCTTAACGTGGTTATCATCTCTTTTGTGGCGCGTCTGTTTGTGCACTGGGTTATCCAAAGGCTTGAATAGGGCACAGTAGTCCTTTACAACCACCTCCCCCGTTCCGTTTCGTGTTGGTCCGCGCTTAGTCGCCTGTTTTCCTTGTTCTTGCAGATTATTTTTGTGCTTTGTTGATTTTATTTGTTTTGTTACTGCACGCCACTCCATGGCAATGTGCACGCGCAGCGCTGGAAGTAGTGCGGTGCCTCAAAGGCGTCGTCACCGCCCTGCACAAAATACAAAACTTCCACAAGCGTTGTAACTTTATCCTCAAGACCGCCGGCGGCAGCGGCGACGAGAGCAACGGCAACGGCAACAGCAACAGACTCGTGGCGTGGAAGGCGTTTCTGCGCGAAGTACGTGCTGCTGCTGCTGCTGCGAATGCTATTGCTTCAGGAGAAGGAGGAGGAAGAGGAGCAATAGCAGCGCCCGGCGGAGGAGGAAGGGACCGTCAAGGACGGCGGCCGCCGGCGGGCATGAAGGAGAAGGAGATGGCCAAGGCGGGCCTTGTCCTGCTGGGAGAACTGGAGCCCCTAGAGAGAATCCCCGAGGTGCGGCGAAGGGGTCAGGAAGAGTCGGGGGGGTCGCCAGCGGGGACGGGGGGGCAGATGCATGTACTGTCGTTTGTTGCTCTCGAGACGTGGTGATGATGTTTCTGTGGGTTAGCAATTGGCTACAATACCGCCTGTTGGATTGCACCAGCTATTCATCGGGCAAAAACATGAGTTTTACTTTCTAGGGGGGAGCGATAGTGCGTGTGTATGGCATTTAGCCGAGATCAGCAACAAACAGTTGTCTGATTCTTTCGTGTGCCCCTGCAGCAAGGCTTCGCGCACGGAACGGAACATTCTCTCTCTGAAAAGACCGTGAAGAGAAGCAAACGCAAGCGTCCTTCCAGTAGCCGTGGGTCGTTCTTGCGAGACTTAGACCACGGGTTCAGAGTTGCTCTCCTGCGGATAGCCGTTGGAAAATAGGTCAAAGCAAGTGTCCCTGTGCCAGTCTCCGCCCCCCCCC